CTTCTTAACTATGTTACCCCAGGGGCACTACCACTGCCACTGATTGGCTCGGCCTTGGCCAGTGGTAGGTCCATCAGACACAGGGGAAGCTTCTAGCAGCTTCTCACAGAAGCCACCCCTGTAGCCCCCCACCTGCTACCAAAACCTTGCCATGCAAACCCAACACATCAGGATTCTCTCTTAGTGGCCTTATTAACGGTAGTGGAGAAAAAAAAAATTCTGGCAGCTTCGTGCATTAACACTTCTTAAAGTATTTTCATGGAATGAAAATTTTAGGCCAGCCACTGCTACATGGCTTTATATGTTTGTCATAGAGAAGAGAAGGTGCCACAGAAACAGAGATCCTGTCTCTACGTGTGAACTTCTTTAGATGAACAGATAGGTAAAGCGAGGAAATTCAAATAACTTGACATTACTTATTTTACAAAAGAAGTGAAGCATTCAGTTTAGATGAGGTAATGGCTTACATAAATAAGAGATGCAATGGAAGCTTTCTTTCTAATTGCCCTTTCAAATTGTATCCAGTGCTTCAGAAACCATTCCAATATTTTTGGTAGTAATTTTTCTATGTAAGTTATTTCTACAACTCCACCAAATTTTAGAAACACTTGTATGTATGTGGCTTTTCGGTCATTCCGTGCTTGTTTTCACGCCTGAACATTTAAAGGGAGGGTTGTTCATCAACAATGCAGATAGAAGGGAAATAAACAAATTTATTTGAAATATTGCCATTACTGAGAAGCAGGAATTTAGCTTGGCTTGATAAAGAAAATAGTATCAGGAAGATACCGTTTGAAAAAATCACTCTTTTGCTCATTAATGGGCACCTGCTGTGTCAGCAAGTTGTAATTCTTGGTGGTTTAGAACCATGTGGTTTCCTAGCATATTGGTTTGGTAGGTTCAAGGCTTCTAATGTAAGGATACGTGGAAAGGCAATTGTTAATGCGTAATGTGTTGTATTACTGTCGTGTTGTTCTCATCTACTACTTTGTTTGCTACTCTGTTAGTATAACCCTGTAGAACTATTTCCAAAGAAATAAGGTGGTAGTAAGCCTCATGTTGCTCATGTATATTTAAAAATCCATCATGCTGCAAACATCTTTGTTACAGAACAGATAGACTATTTCATCTTATACAGAATTGCTGTGAAATCTAACACTGTTGCCTATTATAACTTTATGTATTACAATATATTATAACTATCATGTTTTTTCCCCCTACTGTCTTTTTTCTCCAGAGTGTGGAATTGGGTAATTCATGGGTTCTTTAGTTTATCTAGTGAGCTAAATGTCTTGCTGGACCCTTTTTAGAGGAGGGGGGAAAAAGTTGCATTTTCTTCTTTGTGGTACATCAACTAACAGCAAAGTTTCTAGATTGTACCTGTATATGAATTCTACCTGTACTACAGTATATGCAGCTACTGTAAAACATCATGAAAGGGCAAGTGTTTTGAGTGGTTTTTATGCTTTATCAGTTTACAGCACAACTCACTTACACACCCAGTGCCATCTTCTGTAATGGATTGAGAGAACAAAAATAAATACAAGAAATCTATGAAGGTTACCTTGGTTATCTTCCCCATGCTTTCCACTGTCCTTTTTTGCCCTTTGCTTCTGAAACATACAACTTTAAATGTGTAAATCTGACCTTCTACAGTATCTTATACTAGGTTTTCAAGTGATAGTAAGAAATTTGCACTTTTCTTCTTAGAGCAATTCTTCATTAATTTAGTAATTGCTTTTTCCCATGTTAAAAATCAATGAAATACATGTGAACTCTGATGTGTTCTTTAAATACCAAAATAAAAAGCACTGAGCAAATTAAACACTTCCGTCAGTCATGGTTTTAACTATAATTTTGTTCTTCTTTCTTTCATGCTTCCCTTTCCTCTGTACTCTACTTTTTTCCAACTGTTTGCACTGTATTGCATCTGCATGTATGTTTATAAAAATAGTTGTGCTCAGAGAAGAGATGTTTTGTAATGAAACAGTTTTGAATGGGAGTAACTGACAAGATTTGCTTCATGTAGAAATGCAAAATAACCTAGTGTGTATGTGACTGTTGCATGTTTACAGTAAACTGTAAATGCTAAAGGACTACTTATTGTTCAGTATATTTGGTGCAGCTGTCCCTTTCAATTAAAAAATTAATCTTGTGCTTTGAAAAATGCTTTTTACAAAGTACTAAATTTTATTTCCCTAGCTACATATTGACTGGAGTAGAAATTAGACTGTGTGCCTCAAATATTTATAGACATCATAAGTTAACTGCTGAACAGCAAACATTTCCAATGTAGCTTCGCAACTGTTTGGCTTGTCACAGAAGCTTTCTTGCTTTTCCTCTTGTCTCTGAATGCCGCAGTATCCTTGTTCTATAATGCTTGTTTTGCTTACAGTGAAGTTGGATCTAAATCTTGATTTCAGGTTTCAGAGAGTTGCTTTAGTATCACACTCATAAGAGAGCCCTGTCCAAGAAAGCTTTGTCTTTTGACTCTCTGTAATACGTGACTCCACATATGTGTCTCTTTAAGGGTACAGCAATTGGCAAGATTATTACCTTTTTCAATTGCATTAGGATTCTTTCAGTCCTATTAAACATCAACAAGTTGAGAAAGGGAGTTATGCTTTTAGATTTTTCTGTAAATACAGTTTTAAAAAATACTAACATTAACGTATGCTTTCCAGCTCAGTTGCGAAGATTACAAGAAGATATTGAGACTCTTCGTGAGGAAAAGGAGAATGAAATTTCAAGCACTCGAAATGAACTAGTCAGTGCTCAAAATGAGATTCTGTCACTTCAACAAGTAGCAGAAAAGGCAGCATCAGAACGAAATACAGATATTTCTGCATTGCAAGATGAGCTGCAAACAGTGCGAGCGGAACTTGAACGGTGGCGGAAAGATGCCTCAGAGTATGAAAAAGAAATTGTCAGTTTGCAAGCCAGTTTTCAGCTCAGGTGTCAGCAGTGTGAGGATCAGCAGAAGGAAGAGGCTACTCGCTTAAAAGGTACTTGTTTAAAAGGATGTCACAGACCAGTGCTAACAGTAGCATCCTTATGTATGTATTTATATACGTGTATCAAGGTTTCTAGTTACAAAAGCTGTTTTGTATACTTCAGTAAATAGTAACTGTCAATTATGCCCATGTTAGCTTAGGTACCCTTTGATATCAAAAGTAGACCAAGTATAATTCCACTTAGAAAAGATGGAAGACTGTGCTGTTTGAGGGATTGATACTGCCACAGGTTTCCAAAGGGACTTGTGTAACTTCTGTATAATTTCAGCTTGTAAATGGGTAGCTTCTGACCTTTTAATTTTTCTAGCAAAACTTCACTGGAGACAAATAACTACATTTTATAGCTTAATGAAACTGATGATTCCATCTCATTTTTAACATAAAAATGTTAAAGTCTAAAATTAAACCTTTATTCTGAATGCATGATGTAGAGATATACAAATATGTTGTGCTGAGCCAGCATAGGGCTTCTTTTAGGCTCATTCATTTGCATTTCACTTTACCTCTAATGCACCCAACAGGTCATGAGGAGTGGTTTAGAACTACTACTCCAAGCCTATAGCTTCAGGTCTTGGAGAATCTGTAACAGAGTTCAAAAGCTCGTGCTAAAATATTGTACATGCCACAGAGAAGCTGGCATATGTAAAAGATGCTTTAAAGTCTGAATCAGTTAATTTTTGTGAAATTGTCAAAGGAGCCTTCTTCCAGTTCAGAGGACTCCATCTGTCGTCGTATTACTCAGATGTGTGTAACATTGATTTTTATCTATTTTACCAGGGACTGATTTATTTCAAAGGTCTTACCCTTTAGTTATTGCTTTAAACATTCTGTTCCTTGTAGCAGGGGCATGGTATCTAGTCATTCTAGCTGTTTGCTATTTTCAAGGGTGGGAAATTGTTTTCTTCAAATACACTTTTCTGTCACTGTTTCTAAAATACCAGAGTAGACCCATAAACAGACTTTTCTACTCCTTTGTGCCTTAAAAAAAGCTCACGTTAAAAAAAAAAGCACTAGCTTGTTTAATGGCTCACAAAGCTCATAACAGTAGAAGATACAGTAATGTCTTATAGGTGCTTGGGAGAGAATTCGTATGACATTATTATAATCAAATATATTTGAGATTTATGACTGATATCAGCTTTTCCTCTGTTTATTAGCTGGTGATACTTGAAGCAGTCATGAAATAATTTTACTCAATTCAATTAAATTTTATTTGTTGCAGGTGAACTTGAAAAGTTGAAGGCAGAGTGGAGTGCTCTGGAAGCTGAATGTGTTACACTAAGGAAGGAAAATACTTTGCTTACATCTGAAGTTCAGCGACAAGAGAAGGAGCTTTCTAGGTAAGGGCACAATGGATTTGTCTAGGAAGGTATCATAGCAGCTGAAGAAGGGGGTTTTTTTGGTTTTTTTTCTTCCCAAAAGTGGTACTAAATGTCTGATGGTGTTTCAATAAATGTATTGAAATTTTATTTATATCATAGCATTGGGCAGAACATACTTTCATGCCAAATTGTTTTATACCAAGCTATGTTTTTCTATTTTCCAAATACTTCTGTATTACTTACCAGTCATGTTATATTGTCATAAGGTAACCTGACTTATTTTGCTACTTTAATAAGGACTTGGAAGCATGCATTGTGGAAGTATTTGGACTAAACAGTTATCGTTCTACTTAACAGATAATAAACAACATAGATTTCCGAAGCTAAAATTTTCTCTGCGTTCAGGCTAGGAAAATGATTGTCAGATGGTATGGTGTCTCATGGAAGCCTGTCACATTACAAATAGTAACGATGGGCAGAAAAAGGATTACATACCATGTTTTGCTTAACAGAAAAACACAAATCTTTTTATTGCAAGTGTCATAGTATCTTTTGGGAGGGATTTTAGAGTGTAGGAGTATTTGTATTTTACTGTATTTCTTTTGCTGTTTGAGCACGTGGCATTGCTAAAAGTGATCTAAATCTTTTGCCTGGAAGTAACTTCCCCTCTTATCTATTCATTTGCCATTATTAACGTTGTTTTTCAGTTTCAGATATTGGAATGTAATTCACAAAGTAAATATGGGGTAGCAACTTTGTTTTATTGTAAATCTGAAATTTACCATCATGATTAGATATCTTTTTTTTTTTCTTTTGGCTTCCTCACTGTTGTAAGATCTAATTGAAAAAATGGAAAATTCCCACAGTAAGGCACTTCTAGAAGTAATATGTTATTTTACATTAATCAAAGATTTCTTTTTCATTCCATCATGCCCTGATTTCCACTCGTATTTTTTTCATAAGGAAGGTCACACAAGCAAATACAGGATTTGCATAATGGAGATAATGCAAGATCTCTCCCTTATTTTTCTTTGTCTTGCAGAGGCACAAATTAACACTACTTGGTTGTTACACTGAAGTTTGCAATGGCTCGATTTAGAGCTATGACTATTACGCAATTGTACTAAACACTTGAATGTATTAACTTATGCAACTGGATTAAGCAAAGAAGCATGTGTGCAAATAAGTGAAATACTTGGACAGACTTCTCATTACAAATTTGTTTCAAAATACTTTGGAATATATAATAAATAGTGAATAATAAAAAGTAAGAAATGAAAAATTATGAATGATAAATTATTTAAATTATAGATTATGATTATTTATACAAAGCAGTGCACATATATTTAAAAGTAAGACTATGGCAAGCCTTTTGTGTCAGTACTTTGTATAGGGAGATAATGTTTATTTGTACTTCTATGATTGCTCTACGCTGATATTTCCATATTAAATAAAAATAATCTATCAAGCTTTGGAGGATAAAAAATGCTTAAAAAAAAAAAGTCCTGTTTGTTTAAATTTAAACCACATGACGAATCAATTGGATTTTGTTTTTCAGCTCTCAGAAACAGAGTTTAGCGCTAACCAGCGATATAAGTGTTCTTGAAATGTCTCGAAAGGAACTTGAAAATCAGATGGGATCTTTGAGAGAAAAACATCAACGGGATGCAGCTAGTCTGAAAAGCCAACTCAGTGAAGCTGAGAGTCAAGCAAAAGATGTTCAGAAAGAGGTAACGCGAAACATTATTTCTGTGTTGAGAGAATATAATTTTAAGCTAAAAGAAAAGGAAAGATAAAAGATTTCTTCTGGTAATGAAAAATTTTCATACTTTTATTGCAAGTACTTTATGGTAGCCAAAAATATATAAACTGGAGGTTAAATCTAAAAAGGAAGATTTCAGATAACATTACTTGTGTATGTCTTGGGAAATTCCTAAAGATTACTTTCATGCATTAACTTAGTGAATTTACTTTTAAGCTGTACAGACAGATAAACCCTTACTCAGAGTCTTCCTGAATGTTGTGGTTTAATTGTTATGAGTCAAAATTAATTCTTTTTAGCCAGTATGATTTGCCTAGTTAGATTTAAACTCTTTTATTTGACAATCGGACTACACATTCTTTACAAAGGTCTCTTTTCATCTTACTGAGTCATTAGACTGCGGAAGATGATTGGCAAGTGCATAAAGAAAAGCTAGCATTTTGAGCATGTATTTCATCTGTGTAGCCTCTAAAGATTATGTCTGGAGAAAGACTGTGGTCTCCAACAATTACTTGCTTTGTCTTAAGAGCATTTTGAGTGAAGTTTTCCCCAGTCACTGCTTTTAGTTCTTTTTGCAGTCCTTTTCTTAGTCATTAGTTCATCCACAGCACATTCCTTACCATTTTCAGAATTTGAAAAACCTAGTCTTGTTAGTCTGTGGTTTTGTAATCAGATGTATTTGTAAAGTTGCCTAATCTTTTGAATTTGTGGTAAATGCCAGTACTGAAAGTCATTGGTCCTGTCATGAGGATTACTAGAAAGCTTGTGATCTATAGAAGAAATCGGATGTGAGTTTTTGAAAAAGAAGCTGCCTGTACTGTGGGAACATGAGACGCATTCTCCCAGTATTGTTGTAGTTGACCCACACTGAGGATTATGACAAGATAGTAATAAAGGATAATAATTTTTTTAATGCCTTTCTTACTCTTATGTTTGAGTTTGCTATGTGGGAAGAGGGTTTGATTTACTTCATATAGAAAGTTGATTTTTGCACCTATTTGATTGGTGTGGGTATTTAAGCTACAGCCTAGATGTAAGACCACTATTTAACTCATTGTTCCTCTGTTTCTTGTTTTCTCTTCATAGTTTTTACAGTCCTTTCCAGTATGTTAATGAGTAACTGTTTGATATGAGAGATGAATTAAGGCCTTGCACTTACTTCATATTTCCTTCGTTTTAGTAATCCTAGCCCTTCAAAGTCAGGGACAAAAATCTTCATTTAGGAAAAAAGAAAATAAACGCAAAGGTTTTTCTACCCTGCTTTTATGAAAAGAGATCGTACTGATCCAAGGCGAGTTACTCTAGGCACACGACAGGAAAGGAAGCTATGTGCTAAGCAAGGGTGAGCATGTGTTGGGTGTCCAGGTGTCCACAAACTGTTTTCTCTTTGTCTTTAGTATGAAAGAACACAGACTGTGCTCTCAGAGCTGAAGGCGAAGTATGAGATGGCTGAACAAAAAAATCAGTCACTCACAGAAGAGCTGAAACAATGTAAAGAAAACCTGAAGCTGCTACAAGAAAAAGGAAACAACGTAAGTCTGTACAAAATATGTGGGGAAGTAGGGTTATGACACTGGCAGCTCTATTGATTGAGGGAGTATATAAGTGTCAAATAGAAATGGACGGACTTAAAAAAAAAAAAAAAAGCTGTGTGTTATATGCAAAATTCCATTCTGGTACTGCCTGTGCAATTTTGCAGGTCATTGCACTGTTACAGTTATGCATGCAAGTTAAATTTACAGTTGTGTGACAATTTTAAGTATGGCCTTAGATGTCTGCTGTCTTGAAAACATCTGGCTTAAATACTTTTGAACCAGAACTGAGCAAAACTTTTTCAGAGAATGATACATGGGAAAAAGCTGAGAAACCTATATCCAAATGAGTTAAGCAACCTTTTTCAAGATGCTTTTATTTTATTAGTGGTTATTACAACAAATGTTTCCTCCTTACTCTTGCTCATGCTTCTTAACAGTGGTTATCCCTGATCAGCTCGTGCTTTAAACAGTGCAGTTGAACTATCCTTTCTATTCACTGATGAGAACATTCTTTAACATTGCAATTAACTTGAGAAGTTATATCATTAGAATTGAGTTTACAGCTAGGGACAACTCTTTTTATACTGAGACTTCTGAAATCCTCCAAATGTTAAAGGTGTGGCAGACGCGTTTTAAGGTGGTCATAGCCGTATTTTAGATACCTTAATACTTTGGGATGGCTGGTTTATTGTCTTCTGTACTGCCTCTATGGTCAGTGCAGGGTGAACAACTCCTGTAGTGGACAGTACAAAACAGGAGGATAACGGATGCTCAGTCATAACCTTTTAGAAAACTGTTTCTCTGACTATGAAGAAAGTTTTACAGGTACCATCCTCTAAAGTCAGCTGGCTGCTAGATGCCCAGAGTTTGTGTGAATACTCTTGCTATTGCCAATTACTGAATGTAAACCTCTAGCATAGTAGAGCTGTCAAAGATGTAGAGAATTCAAAGCCCTTCTCACTTTTTTTCAGCCATATTTTCAGGAATATGATGTTATAATTCTCTTGGAACCTGCTTCCTGCTTAGTGTTCTTCTGCAATGCTCAGCTAATGTTGCGTTAACTAAAGTAGGCAGAAGTCAAAAAGAAACAACCAAACCCCTCCCATTCTAGTAGAAGAGATCACACCGAAGAAATAATTGTGAATGTGAGATTTTCTGCTCTGTTAAAAATATTAACCTCAGGATTAAGATGATCAATGGAAAAAGGGGGATAGTAGAGGGAAGAAATACTGTGAAGGGAATTGAGCACCTGATGAAAGTGGAAAAGTTTGCAAGGTAACGGAAGATTTAGGAGGAATTCGAGGTATTTAAATGAAATCAGGAACCACAGCAGTTGCCAAAATCTGCTTCCAGAGGAGGAGTTAGTTATAGCAGTTGAAACCTGGAGGTGAGGATATGATGAAGAGCATCCAACCATATAAGGACTTGCAGGACAAGCTTGCTGTTCAAGTAAGCATTACTCACAATCAGTAATGTAAGACATATCTAGTGGATTATTTGAAGCATCATGGATACTGGGCTGAGTTCCAAGGTCAAATTTTTTTAAGTACCATTGTCCCCTTATGCCGGAATCATTGGCCGCTACTTCATTTCCGAGGACAGTCTCCCACAGAAAATGACTTCGCACTGTGGGATTTGTCCCTTTTCACAGCCCATCTGTATCTGAATTTGCATATCTTCATATTCTGATACAAGATGCACAGTTTTGATGAAGCACCTAGTTAAATGCTCCTCGACAATAAGGAGATTTGTTATAGATTGCTAGGTTCATGAGAGGGGAAAATGTAATTGTTTGGAGGCAATTTAATGTCATATTTATCATTTGTTTCATTTGCCAAGATGCCACAATCATGAATGTGTATAACTTTAAAAAAAAATTTAAAAATAATACAAATAAATCCATAGAATTGTTCAGTGAACTAAAAAATATTAGAAAAGACAAGGCTTCTGTACTCCATTTGGGATATCATTTAAATGTTAAGTTTTTATAGTTAAGTTTTACTTTAAAAAAAAAAAAGAAAAAAAGTGGTATGTTCTGAAACGCTTAGCAGTGTGATGTACTACTTGTGCTTGCATGCTTGTAGTCACTGATTATTTCCTGATGCACTTTATATGACAGAGTTGTTTGTGAATGGTTTGAGAACATTAGCTGCTCTGGTTGACTTAAACTTCTGGCACTTTTGTGAACACTGCTGTGATTATTTCTACCAACATGCTTTCTGTGGGAAGGTAGCACTCTGATTTGTGGCACCAATGACACAAAAATAATCCTGCATGAAAATTACTTTAATAGTTACGCATAATTTGTCTATTAAATATTTGCCTTGATTAAAACAAATTTGAATTGAATGGCAGAGACTAGAATACCTTCTAAGATTCCTGTGTTTTGAACCATATTGGAGGTTCTATGATTAAGTGACTTCTACAGATTCCTAATCGGATGGGATTTTATTTATGAATCACAATGCTTCAGAAAGTCTTTAAATATGAATTTGTTATTTATTTTAATGAACAAAATCAAGGCGGCTTCAGCACAAAAAAGTTCTTAAGAAAATATTTGGCATGGTTTGAACTTAACCTCTGTGTGTCTGTGTGCGTGCACGAATATGTAGGCTAAGATAGAAAGAAGAGATGTCTTCCAAGGACAGTTTAAAAAGAAATTAGGTCCATTTTTGCTCTTAATTCATTGTATTAAGGATAGAGGCTATCCATCCAGAATGTGAAGTAGTTTACAGTTAATTGAATATAGCTGAGAAGATGTGTAGATGGTTCTAATGAGGCCATAAGCTAAATGAACCCTGCAATCTTACCAGCTGGTAGTTTGGCCCAGCTGCAGCATTTGATCGATTTTTCAGAACTGCATTTGGTCCCAAGGCTGATGACCTGCCAGAGATGCTGATCTTCGTGGTATCTCTAATAGAAACGTACTTCCCTGCTTTATAGTAACTTAGTGTTGATTGTACAGTCATGTTACAATCACACAGAAATGTCTGAACTACTGAGTTTGCCTGTGGACATAGTTGGAATTGATTCACTGCTGGAGGAAAATGATTGTTTTTCTGGAGGCTAGTGATGCAAAATGGGAAGGGCTAACTTTCAAGGAATGAAGTAGCAGCTGAAAAATTCAACAGCTGGTGTGAGTCTTTCTACCTTAAGAAATCCAGATGGGATTTCCTATCACTTGGAAAAACTAAAACCAACTATAAATAAGATAACAGGCAAATCAGTTTAAGATGTGTATTGTTGTTACGTGCTAAATTCCAAGTTCTGATAAGAGGTTTCTTAGAACATTTTCTGCTTACTTCCCTTTATTTTTAAACATCCCCGTTCATTTGAGTAGAATGGTGTACTAACTTTGTATACCAGATTAGATAATGCTGTATTGTGTTAGATGTCTTTAATACATTTCAATTAAAACAAAACTCACTGACTTATTTTCCCCTCTCTAAATCATCTTTACCTGATTGATTTATAGCACAAAGTGATTTTTAATATCCCTTCCCTTCTTTAGCCTTCCATATTACAACCCGTCCCAGCCGTATTCATCGGCCTAATCCTGGCTTTCCTGTATTGGTGTTACGGCCCATTGTGGTAGCGAAAGGTACAAGCACTACTGTTCAGTCAATGTATGTTTGTCCCTCTCACCTGTATGTGCCATTTCTGTATAAAATAGTGCATGGTGAAATGCTCACAGGTATTTCTTTACCTGAAGCAAACCCTTCATTTAGTATGCCATTCTGTGGATACTGATGAGCTGAGCAATCAACTAATCATTTAACATCTGTGTGATTTCTTTAATTCTAACAGTGAATTTCGTTCTAACTGGTTCTGAATGTGCCTCTTCTAACTCGGTCTCAGTTTGTCTTTAGCAAATGGGCTACCTTTTGCACAATGCTGTGATGCTAGGGCCTGTAAGAAAACTTAATTGCTTAATTAACTATGGAAAATGAAGAGTTTGCCTCTAAATAATAAAAATCAACAAGCTTCAATTCCTATTTATGGACTAAGAAATTCCTCTCTGGCTCTAAACATTTTAATTTTTCTCACAATTGCTATGAAGAAGATGGAAAAAAAAGACGAGAAATAGGTGGTTGGTTTGTATCTGAACTCTCAGCTTGCATTTTCTCTAACATCTCTCAATGTCTCCTCCTCTTAAAATGCTATTGTTGTCATGAAATGTTGTGACAGTCCGTTACAAGTTATGTTGTAAAGATCTGCTACAAACTAATTTCATAAAACTGGATGTAAGCATTCAAAAGCTAAGCTAAAGATGTCAGTACTGCATAAACTTGTGTTTAGTGATCACTGGGCACAAGTGATGTTTTAAACATCTTAAGCCCTCACATGTTTAATAGCTCATTTCTTTGAGGTGCGTACGGTAATGAAGCTGGAAATACGGAACTGCCAAAAGTTCTCCTGATGATCCTCAGTTGTGAAGAGTTGTGGAGTTCCTTTTGCTAGAGAAACGTGGTTTACTGTGATTCTCTAAGTCAGGACTAGCCTGCAGTAAGGCTCATGGGTAACATTTTAGTGATACTATCAACAGGTACTCAGGACTTTCAGGAACCACGGGGTAAACTGATTAGTATGAATTAGAACAAATATGATATTGATTTTTTTTTTCTCTCCACACAGAGACAATGGCCTTGGATGCCTGTGATGGCAGCTTTGGTTGCTGTAACAGCCGTGGTGCTGTACCCAGGCCTAACCAGAGCTTCTCCATGAGAACTGTTGTTGAATCCATACACCGTCCTCCCTTTAGAAGCTGGCAACATTCATATACTGAGGGAAAACAGATTAATTCTCTTCCTTTTTACCTCTTAATACAGCACAGCTCTGCGTGAGAACAGCAGTAGGGTCATTTGCTTTAAACTGTATAAAATGTATCTGTCTATAAAGAGGGAATAAAATTGTGATTCATCATACTGTGAGCAATATTTTTGCTTACAATTTCATGCAAGTTTTAAATTAGTATGTTGGGATTCTGAATACTATAATGGTGGCCTAAAGTAGGCTTCTTGGTACCAAATTATTTATAATGGCTAGGGTTGTGGACACTTTAGAATCTGATTGCCAGATGCAAAAGAAAAAACACGTTTCTAATTTGGACACCCAAGCCAAGTAACCTTGCAGGTACTTGGAAAACAAATGCTCAGTGCCTTTCAGTACAATTTAAAAAAAAAAAAAAAAAACAAAAACCACCAACAAACTAGTATACCATTTTACTGGCTGTTAGTCACTGAGCTGTTGGGAACAAGACTTTAGAAAACTTCTCTTACCACGCCTTTTGAAGGAAGCATATTTTTCTTTGCTAAGGGTTGCTTTATTACTGATTTTTGGGAATAAACACAATTCATATCCAGCCTTAAAGAGATAGAGATATTGATGGTGAAGACCAGCCTAGAGTATTTAGTGTGCGCGTGTGTGAGTGTAAGCATGTGTGTGTTCTTGAGTGAACTAAGGTATTTCTGGGAGCAAGTACTTGGTCATTTGATGGACATAGTGCAGTGATTCAACTTAACGTTAACTTTAGTTTGAATGTAATTTATTAAATTTCATATATTTAAAGAGATGCATTCTTTAAAAGTATGAATACTTTCTCACATATCACATGTATCAATTTATTTTTTCAGTCATTTGATACTTTCTGACTTGAGCTGGAGAAGCTCTTTAGATAAGCTTTTGTGGAAGTAACTTTATTAAGAGAACTGCTACAGTATGTCTGTGATTAGCTGAAGAAAATCTAAGATACATAAAATACTACAAAATTGGAATCATCTACCTGATGAAGTATTGCCTGGTGAAGATGATTTCAATTTGGTAGTAAAATTTTGTGCATCCTTATCACATGGCTGTATGACGCAGTGGTCCCCATTACAAAGTTTATTTTCCTTATCTGAGTACTATAACTATTGCTATTTGCTGACTTGTGATGGGAATCACTGTAGTTAGTGCTGAATTAAATGTAGACTGTAGTTGTCTTGTTCAGCTCAACAGTTCTGTCAAAAAAGTTTATTAAAGACTTAAATAATACGCTAAAGAATGGTAAAGTAAAATGGCTCTGCTAAAGGAAACTTCAAAATAGGGAGGTAATCTCAGCAATTCAATTGGCTTTAAAGAATGTTATGGCAATCAACAGATAGCTTAAATATTTAAATAGAAATTTAGCATATAATTTACTTTGTGAGGTTTTAAGGGTCATTGTCCTTTAATTAAAGGTTCTATCTTAAGTTACCTGGGATTTGCTAATGGGAGGATTATTAGTTGGAAAAAATAGTCCACAAGTGACTTGTAGAAAATAAATATTGTCATTTAGTTCATTCATTTCATCCTTTTCAGTTGCAGGAAGCCACCCAACCACAGAACACTCGTATGCCAGTGGTACTTAGTACCTCTTGTATATAGGTTATTGCAAATATTGTTCTGAAATGCTTAACTTCAGAATTACATTTTTTAAAGTAAATAATTGTTTTAAATCTATTTTGTAAAGATATAAAAATACAATAGAATTTCTGGAGTACAGATTAAACTATTTGCACTAACACACGTGATGTGCATGATTTAATAAAATAACTTTACTCTCCCTATGCATGTTTGAGTTGAATGTCATTTGAAAACAAAAGATTCATGCTAAGTTTCTTTTGCGGTAGGTGTTGCCACAGTTACTAGGCACAATGTCTGAGGCATGTCCAGTAATAGCAAAAGACTTTTTTTTTTTTTACCTTGTATTTCATATTTGCACTGGTTTAAGTTTTTGTCTAGCTGATCTCTCTCCTGTCTGTGGTTTTCAGAAGGAAAGATGGGAGGAGAAAGCCATGGAAGGCTTGGGAGCATATTGCCATGGGGGGCGGGGGAAGAAAAGTGTTCACAGCTGAAGGGTGGATTGTGCCTGTGGCAGGGGTTGTAAGATCGGAGGAGCAGTGGCTGCAGGTAGTGGGGCAATAGTGGAAAGCCCTTCTAGGGGAAGGGAGCCTGATGCTGCCTCCTCTTTTCTTTAGCATCTTGAACTCCCTATTTGTCCCTCTTACAGCTGCTGTTTCTTTTCTGATTGATTCTGTTCCCTCCTCCCTGCTGGTAGCATGTAGCCATGGTGTGAGGAGGTGGAGTGAAGCCTGGTGGAGCAGTGGTCCCTCCTGGCTGGCAGCGGGGAAGGTGCCGAGTTCCCTGGGACCAGCCTTGGGGCCAGCCTGCACTGCTGGTTGGTGCCCCGTACTGAGCAGTGCTGCCTGGGACATAAGTTTGTTCTGGTATTAAAGACAAATGTTGTGTTTTAAGAAATCTTTAGAGCATCAGAGAGCTGAAATTTGAGACCCAACGTGGTTGTATTAAAGGAGAAAGATTTGTAATTTAATTATGTGCATGTGTGCATATTTAGATTATATACACGGGTGCATAGTACACATTGCATGGGAGTTTGTGCTTTCAAGTATACCTGTGGTTCCCTAATACAGTGCCTTTCCCAGGAGTTCTTGATATTTGCATGTTCAAAATGATCAGGAATGAGCTAAAATGCACAGTTCCCTCTTTCAATGTGAGAATCCCTGGAGAAGGATTGGATGACTGGGAAGTTGCTGTTCTTCAGTGCTTTGATACTAAAGCAGCAAGTAGAGTTATTTTGCAAGCACTCTATGCACAAACTTTTCTGTTTATTTCGTTGTGTTTGTTTGCAGTAAATGTGTGTGTTCTTATATTAAGGTTCTTTCTTTTTAGTTGCGAGGCTTGATTAGCTAAGCCTTGGAGTTACTGTAACAAGAGTAGCTTTTCACAAACATGTAAGATGCTCTAAGTCTACTCGTAAAATAAGTGCTCTGAGCTTGCACTGAAGTTTGAGATTTTAAAAAGTTTCCTCATACTAGAAAAATTAGTCTTTTTATCAGTTGCCAGTTCAATTTGAAAGATTTAATAGAATATCTGAACACTTCTTCAGTTTTGTCCTGGTGTCGTGGCTGAGGCACTTTTTAAAAAATTTTAAAATAATTCTACCTACCTACGGACTACAACAGCAGGCCTTTTATTTAAAAATATAAATATACTATATATAAAAAAATGTAGTGTAATTTTCCTGTTCCTTGTAATTGGATTAAAAGCATTCTTCCAGAGTCTTAGCGTGATCCTTCTTGCAGAATCTCTGGATTTTTTTGGTGCTAAATGGAGAATTGTGAGCCTGCACAATATATTGCAAAATTTTCTCATAAAACAGTCTTAGTGAGACGTAGTATCAAATGACTGATGGCTGAAGCAAAGGTAATCATCTGTGCATGTATTTTGGGGGTATGTTTCTAAGTTATTTTTCTTTTTTTAATCAAGTCTTCTGAAGTTACCTACAAATTTCCAGTGTGCTTTACATAAGATTTTGAATGTCTCCTGCCTTAATCTGTAGGGTTCTACCACTTGCAAGAATCATTTCTTCAGCTTGAATCTTCTCCATGACAAATCCACTGCCGAGATTCATTCCACCAGCAGCATCTGAGTGCTTTGAAACACCAGGTCACCCCAGTGGCTTTTGGGAAGCCGCTGTTGTTTGCACTAGCTCTGCAACTGGGGCTGGCCACTTTCCACCAGGGGCCTTTTTTTCGCCCTCTAGCTTTCCATCCACCATTAGCATTTCATTAGCAACTGTCTCAAGATTTTGAGTCTCCATTAATATAGCAGTTGGTCATATGAAAGAATTAGAAGCCATATTCTCTTGCTCTCTGTCTCGAGCTTATACCTCTGGACCTGAAGGGTGATTGCTTCCAGCAAACAGTTGCATTGAATTCTGCAGATCCAGCTGATTTACTCATCCTAGTCCCTCTGTTTGTGCTTTTGGACACAGAATTCCTTTCTTTCTCCTCTGGTGGGGAATTGGGCTGCAGTCTCCCAGTTCTTTCTGCCTTCCTGGGTTTTTAGTTTGTGCCAAGTTGTTCAAATTAGTGGAGTAAAGGTTTGCCCACAGAACCAAGTTGTTCTACTTGGAGAGAGGGTTGAACCCGCTACTGCTTTAAAAATAGTGGGTGCTACCAGTATTTGACTAAAGGCTCCCAGAAGTAGAAGGCAAATTAACAATTGAAACAAAAGTTTTGGTGGTAAGGGCTGTTAGAGGCTCAAGTTTCTGTTTGTTGGTAAAGGGAACTCACATCTCATTGCTGTTCTGGGCATGACAGTCGGGAAACTTCACCGACCGATTTCAATGTCAGAAGCATAATGTCAAGAAGTCAAGCATTTATTTTAGGAAAAAAGAATTCTTACTTTAAGAACTTCAGAAGAGGAATCAGTCACCTCTGTAGGTAAGTTACTTGAGCAACTACTGTCCTCTTCAAAAAAAAAAAAAAACAAACACCCAAAAAACCACCAACCCTGTGTTTGAGTTCATCTCGCTTTGGCTCCCAGCCATTGGATTGCAATGTATCTCTCTTGGAGGATGTTCTACTACTGCAAGTGTTGCCCTGATCCAGGGATTTGACATACCATGATCAAAATACCTTCCAATCTTACTTTATATGAAGGGATTGAATTTCTTAATTTTTTCCCTTCATCCCTCTAGCTTTTGTTGTCAGTTTTTTAAACTATTTCTGATTTTCTGAATGTTCCTCTTTGAAGTATAGATGCCAGAACAGAACATGCCCTTACAGTAATGACCTTACTAACATCATATAAATAAATAATAAGCTTTATATCCTGCTCTGCTATTCTTATTTGGCTGTCTACCAGAACCCTTTGGGGGATTCACTGACTTCTAGCATTTGAATTTAGTCTTAGGAATCAAATCTGTGCATTCCTCACATTACCCCAGCCCTGTGGTATCTGACTTTGCAATATTGTTTGGTAAAAACCACAGTAGGCAAGCAGTCCAAGGCAGCAACCTGCTCCCATTACTGTTCAGCATTTCAGCAATGGTTTGGGTTTTTTGCCCTTTCAGGTTTTAAC